TTTTTTAAATCTAATTTAAATATACTGGACGTCAAGAATTTAGTTTAATTATTTGCAATTAACTCATATGCTAATAGAAACGAAATGGCAAATGTTTAATTTTATTCTTTTAATAGATGGCTACCCAACATTTCATATTACTGTTATGAAGGGGATCCAATAGAAAATTATAAATCAGCATACAGCATTTGTATTTTTTCACAAATACATATAAAATTAAAAAAAATATATTTAAATATAAAATTTCTATTTTATTTTCAACGAAATGGCGACCCAACGATGCATATTATTGTTATGAATGCAATCTAATATGAAATTATAAATTTACAGCATTTGAATTTTTATACAAATAAATAATAATAATATATATATATTTAAATACAAAAACTCCTATTTTTATTTTCAACGAAATGGCAAGTTTTTAAATTTATTCTATTAGAAAATGGTCGCCCAACGCTTCATATTACTGTTATAACGGTGATTCAATATGAAATTATAAATCAGCTGACAGAATTTGAGCTTTTGCACAAATAAATATACTCCTACGACACCACACCACACCACTGTGCCTGGAGCAGAGATGCCCCTTTACAGTTTGAGAATGATGTCGGTGAGAAGTTTGATTGGGCTCGATTGGTAACGCTCTACGGTCATATGAGACCATGACCTACGTCTTAAAGTGGATTCCGAACTATTACAAACATCCATAACAGCGCCGAGATTCGAACCCGGGGTAGAGGTCAGAGGGCCATCAGGGCCCTACAAATAAATATAAAATCTCCTATTTTATTTTCAAATAAATAGCAAGTGTTTAATTTTTTTAATAGATGACCATTCAATATGAAATCATAAATTTGCGTACAGCATTTGAATTTTTGCACAAATAAATATAAAATAAAGAAATAATATTTAAATATAAAACCACCTATCTTATTTCGGTGATTAAAACTTTTTGGGCTTTTCAATGTTTAAAAAAAAGTCTTTACGCGAAGAGAAATCAAAGATTATTACGATATAATATTATTTCTGGTTATGGTGAATATCTTAGACTGAGTATATTTTGTAACTTTGAATACAAAATTTTAAACATATATCGTAAAATCAGTAATACTTTATGCGCCGAACATTATAGATTCTTTTTTCATATTTTTATTTTTTCTTCTTCAAAACTGGCACATGAGAATTTTTTTCTTTTAAATATGATTTATGGATGTTAAAAAAATATTTCATATTTCTGAGGTTAAAGAATAGCATTTGAATATCAGAATACAATGCGATAAATTGCCTTAAATTTAAGTCTTTTGGATAAAAAAGTATGTACAATTATTTTCCTTCAGTAAGGATATGTTTAATGTTACGCCAAAAGATTCATGTGATTCTGCATTGGTCATGCACTGGTTTCCAAAAGAATTGGGAAATAATAACAATAAAAAAAAACTGTAACTGGAATTAGTTTATATTCAATGGAATTTAACGAAATTTTGCAAACACACTAATCAACAGAACCTCACACATTAGGCACATTAGAAGAACAATGTGCTTGTTTTCTGTCTCAAAATACACAAATTGAAACAACAAAAATATACCATCGTAATTGTGTAGTTTATGGTCTGTATGATTAACAGTAATAAAAAACGGATTCCCCTTTTCCACCAGACTAACTATTTTCTTGAGTAGCTTTGCTAAATTGGACTCATCAGTAAAGAGCACAGTTCTCCATTGCCTTGCACTCCAATAGACATGCATGCGTGTCGAATTGAACCTTTCATTTCGGTAACATGGTGTTATGCATTCCGTACTAGACATCTTACATAAAGGCTCATTCTAATACTGTTAATCTGAATACCAGCCTTTCATAGCTACTACAATAGAAGATATGATGGGGATTGGTGCAGTTGGTACTGTACCTCTTTGCAGTTAGCTGCAATTAAAAGTTATCTTCTGTACTTGTTTAAAACATGTTTTTCAATGAATTCTTACAAAAACAATGTGTTATATTCATCAACGTGCCCAATATAGATTACAATTCTTTGTAGTTTATTTTTCCAAGTTTTGAGTAAAAAAATATCCGGAATTTATAATTTAAAACGCAAGTAAAAGATATCGTGTGCATTTTTTTTTGTATATTGGTAAATAAGCCAACAGTCTTCGGAATTATGTTTAAGCTAAAAAACTCAAGTCAAAATAACTTGAAAATAAAGCTCATGCTGTCAATTGTGTCCAAAAGGAGAGCTTTGAAAATAAGATCACTGAAGACATGATTTCCCGAGCTTCTATAGACCACACCATTATGTAGCTCATAATAACAAGTAAAAAGGTATGAATTTACGAATAAGCCATGAAAATAAGCCAACGGTCTAGAAGTTGGTGATTGAAAACTGTCGTATGAATTTTAGAAAGTTGGCTCAAGAGGTGAATATGAAATTAATGAATGAATGAATTAATTCCGTTCATAACATTAAGAATTGATATTTTGGCCATGAATGGCTCCACCGCATGACTGTTTCCGAAAGAGCTCAATTTTGTCCAAAAAAGCACCGAAAGAAAATCCCTGATAACATGATTTCATGAGTTCAATATGGACTTTAAGCACTGAAACGGTACCTCCTAAACTTCTATTTACAACATGGCGTATGTGACTTTTCCTCTTCCCAAAGTTAAAATTACCACTTCGCGGAAGATGTTTCGACTCGGTTGAGGTAATAAAAGAAAATTTACTGAAGGAACTGAAGGCCAGAACTGAACTTTCATTAGCTTACGAAAAATATTTGGAGGATTGGATCAAGCGCTGTCATGGTTATTGTATAATTATTTCAAAAACGAAAAACCCAACTTAGTGGACTGTTATACTATTTATTAACTTAAAATAACAAATAAAAGCGCACTGCTTTTTAAACAAGTGAAAAGAATGGATACTTTAGCCATCTGCACAAATTTCAAATAATCAAAATTTGTTTTCACAGAATAATCACAAAAGGACAGCAAGCCAACCTACACTATTGTCTTATGTTCAATTTCGTCTTCTAACTCTTAAGAAGAATTAAGTTTAAAATTCCTTTATGGAGATTTTTTACACCATATGTTCTGCTAAATAGTTTCACTTAATTATTAATCGCCGCTTAAGCCATTTATTCGCCAATTTTAATTCGCAACCTAAGCCAATTATTCGCCATTTTTCGCCAATTAATTAATATATTAATTGCAAAAAATGTCGCACATTTTAAGTTTGGCGATGTTGATGCCACATTTGGCGATATGAGGAAGAAATTTCTTTGTAACAATTCACTGTTTTGAGTAAGATACATTGTATTTCCTTGCAAAATTAGTTCCATCTCAAAAACACATGTTCCATATTAAATGTTTCATTTATAAAAACAACTTTGTCCTCTCACTTATAGCTCGGAGCGTTTTTCTGATGATTATTTATGAAGTAATTTATTTTACGCGCAGAACATAATTATCACAATAATATGAACTTGTAAATGTTGATAATAAATTATTCAGAAGAATTACACGGTGCAGCGTACACAAATGAAAGTTAATTGTCAGTTTTTAACACATGCAATTTGCTTGCCATCCCAATTTGAATATTGTTCATTTAATTTAGAACGTTAACAAGAAACATGTTCCTAAAAAGAACAACGTTAATAATGAATTTATTCAACAACACTTTCGCTGATGCCTGTGTTTATAAACTGTTTGACTTTTATTTTATTATATTAGCTTTTTTTTCATTACATGTATTCATTGTTTTTATTCAATTACTTAAAATGTTTCTTAATAACTTTATTTGTTTCTCTATAATGAAACTTAAGAGGCAAAGTAAATTTTTTTTTTAAATAAAATTTTTGATGTAAATTGATTTTTGTCTTTGGTAGCATAAATATATTAAATGATTGATTAAGATGAAATTATTATTGAACATTTAACCTTGTAGAATGTTTTCATGTTTGTATTCTTATCAATACACAATGTATATTACATATTTTGCAATGTTCTCTGTCTTTTTTCCCCCAACGGGACATAATAAAAAATACATCTGATGTTATATATTGAATTTGAAGAATGCTACTTCATATCTGCATGTTTGTATTAACTAAATTAAGTAAGTTAATTCAATAAATAAATTAACTAATGAATGCTTAATAATTAACTTAATAAATAAATTAATTAACAACCTTATAATGTTTTTCAATAATTGAATGGTCCATTTCTTTATTGAATAAAAGGTGGATCATGTACTATTTCTACCTTTTCATCAAGTTTAAAACTTTTTTAAAAACCATTTTCATAAATACTACCATGCATACTAAATACTACAGTACGTACTAAATAATACATACTATAGTACAACAATATATACTACAATACAACAATACATACTAAATACTACAATATTACAATACAACAATACATACTAAATATTACAATATATGTTCTATGCCCGACCTTTTCATCAAGTTCGGGGGAAAAAAAATCCAGGGACAAAAAAACAAAAACATTTTCATATATTTAAATACTGCCATGCATATTAAATATTATAGTACATACTAAATACTACAATACAACAATACATACTACAATACAATAATGCATACTAAATACTACAATATATGTTCCATGCCCCACCTCTCCGTCAACTTTGAAACTTTTTAAAAACCATCTTCATATATTTAAATACTACCATGCATACTAAATAATAAGTTCATACTGTTGTTGTTGTTGTTTCTTATCCCACTTGGCTGGCCAAGCCCACGAGTCCATATGGACTCATGATTGAAGGGGAAGGAAGCAGCTTCTGTTGTGATGGAGCACCCGTAGGTAGAAGCCTGACTTTTGCTCCGTGACGCTCTTACAGTCATAGAAGACCGGGACCTACGGCTTAAAGTGGATTCCGAACCACTACAAACATCCATGGCACCGCCGGGATTCGAACCCGAAACCTGTGGCACCGAGCGCCAGAGCGCCAGACACTCGGCCATTCAGGTTCCAAATTTGCCAACGGCACGCAGTGTTCCCAGGTGGTCACCCACCCAAGTACTGACCGAGCCCAATGATGCTTAACTTCGGTGATCTAACGAGAACCGGTATATTCAGCATGGTACGGCCGTTGGCTCATAAGTTCATACTAAATACTACAATACATTAATACATACTATAATACTGCAATAAATACACAATACCTACTACTATACTACAATACATACTAAATACTACAATAAATGTTCCATGTCCCACCTTTTCATCAAGTTTGAAATTTTTATAAAAACATTTTCATGTATTTTAATAATACAATATTCCTTCATGAATATAATAATTTCTTTACTAAATTGATAAGATAATCAAATGTGCTTTACTGAAATACAATTTTTCATAATACATGTTAATTTTAAAATTTTATCGTAAATGTTATAAAAACGCATTGGGTTTTTAAAAAGTATCAGATTATTTTTTAAAGCTGTATATTTATACCTAAATTGATATCGAGGGAAAATTCAGTTATGGTAAGTAGAAAGGTATGCCAAAGTCTTAGTCAAAGAGTAACAAAAACTTATAAAATTTCTTTTACTTTTTTTATGAATTATTTTACTAGATCCGTTGTGGACCTTGGCCTCCTCTAAAAGATCCAGCCAGGCTGTTCTCCTCTTGGCCGTGGACCTCCAGTTTTTGATCTTAATAACATTAAAATCAGAGTCTAAATAGTCGGCCCATCTCTTTTTCGGTCTTCCCCTTGGTCGTTGTCCAAAAGGGAAACCTTCAACGCCACTATCACTTTCCATTCTCATGGGATGACCGGCCATCTCATTCTCTTCAATTTAACAAATTTTAGAATGTCAATATCTCTAAAAAGTTTGTAAAGTTCAAAATTGTATCTTCTTCGCCAATTTCCATTGTCATTGATACCACCAAAAATAGTTCGTAGTACTTTTCTTTCAAAAATTGCCAACATTTTCTCTTCTCTTGCTGTTAGTGACCATGTTTCAGACGCATATGTTAATACTGGTCTTATGAGAGTTTTGTACAGAAACATTTTTAGTTCTTCTTTTAATCAGGTGGGATCTTAATTGTCTTCTAAGACCAAATAGCCAGCGATTGGCAGCAAAAAAATGCAGAATAAATGGCATTTACTTTTCCAGATACTGCACAAATAAATGTTCAATCTAGGTTTAATCTAAAGTCAACAAACAAGAGTCAAAATGACACACACACACACATGCCTATTAATTATCAATGATATAAATTTGAAAATCCTTTTTTTGTATTTGTTCTTTATACAAATTCACAGTTTTTAATCTGGAATTTTCAAATTTGTCAAGTACATTGGCTATGGTCTATGAAAGACTAAGATATTTTAAAACTCGAAGATTTCCCTACTTTCCACTGATTTTTGTCCCTTAATTTCCTCAATTTAATGAGAAGGATTGGATGCGATTTTATGAGAGATTGCTTTACATCCTAATTCATTAAATGGCATTTTCAATTTATCTATGATAATTAAAACTAGTAATATAAAATTAAAATAATTAAGTCAATTCCTACTTTTTTTTTCACTATATTGCAGAAAGTCCTTTATAAATAATTTTCATTCATTTTTTTAAAGTTTATCTGGCGCCATCTATTGGTAGATATAGGCAATTTAAATGTAAAAAAAAATTTAAATTAATGAATTAAAATTAATTACTGAATTAATATTTAAAAAAACTGTATTAACATCAAGCGTCATCCACTACAAGTTCAAAAAATTGTATTTGAAATTGAGTGGACGAATAAAAAGTATTTTATGAACGATTGAAAATTTGAACAAGATATATATAGGGAGAGTATGAGCTAATAGAAGGAATTGAAAAAGAGCTTAAAAACAGGTTCAAAGTTTCAGGGTAGAAATTTCTAAAATACTATATTTTTTACATTAGTCATACGAACCCTTAAATAGAGGGTAAAGTATTAGAATATATAGAATTAAAATATTGTGTATCGAAAAGCAATTGCCAGAAACTTTTAATTGAAATTAATTTTTTTTTATGCTGAAAATATTCTTATAAAAATATTAATCAAATCAAATCCATCTTTGAACTTTTTAATTATGTTGTTGTTGTTTGTTGTTTTATCCTTATTATATCACTTCTTTCTAGACGAGCCCTGGAAATACTGAGTAATTCAGATATTGATATTATAAATTTCGTATATTCAGGTATAGGTATTAAATAAGTTTATTATCCATTGAAATTATAACATATAATATAGAAAGAAGAATGCCTTTTAATGAACAAAATAACAATTATGTATATAATGGATTGATATATAAAAAGGTAAAATTTAATATTAGACAAATTTAATATTAATATTACATATTTAACATTACAATATTACAATTTAATATTTAAATTTTTTATCGCTGGATTAAATAACAAAAATTAATTTGAATTTTACAAAAAATAAATTTCAATTTTTGTTTAAGAGGCGTAAATAAAATTCAATAATAGTAATTAAATTGAAATAATAGAAAAATATATTTTTAATTTTATTCTAAATTGCTTTTTTAATAAATGTTAATATGATTCAGAAAATGTTTGTGTTTCTGTGTTATATTCTGTGTATTTCAGTGTTATTTTTTCTCATTGATTAACTTTAATGGTCAGGAATTTAAATACTTATTAATTAAAACATTATTAATCGAATTAAAAAAATTTGAATTGAGTAATTATAATATGTATTTATATAGAATTAAATAAATGATGAAAATCCTTTCAGGGAAGAGAAAATTTATAAAAGTTTTAATGGGAAATTTCATATTAGATTTTACATTTCAAAACATTTCTATATTTTATTTTTATTAGAAATACTAATGAATATAATAATAATTAAATACTGAAAGAAACAGATTACATTTGAAATATTATTAAATTTGCCATACATTGTCCCACAGTAATTTTATTTATGAATGTGATTAAATAAAACAATTAATTAATTAATTTTTTACAATAAAATTAAATTCATTAATAATAAAAATTAATAATGGATTACTCTGGATTAAAATAAATTTTTATTTTTATTTAAGAGGTATAAATAAAATTCAATAATGGTAATTAAATTGAAATGAAAAAGAATTGAATGAGAATTTTTACATTTTATTCTAAAATACTTTTTGAATAAATATTAATATGATTTAAAAAATATTTGTATTTCTGCGCAGTATTCTGTGTATTTCACTGTTATTTTTTCCACATTGATGAAACTTATGATCATGAATTTAAATACTCATTAACTAAAACATTATTAATCGAATTGAAAAGCTTGAATCAAGTTTATAACAATATTTAATTTAAGAAGAATGAAATAGAATTAATTAAATGACGAAAATTCTTTTAGGGATGGAGAAAATATGTAAAAATTATAATGGGAAATTTTGTAATAGATTTAACATTGCAAAACTATTCAGTATTTTATTTTGATTATAAATACCACTGAAATAAGTCCTTCAGTATTTAATTATTATTATACAAAATATAATAATTAAATACAATTGAATACATGAATAGAAATTGAAATAATGAATACATGAATACAAGGAAATAGAAATTAAATACATTAAAATATTATTAAATTTTCCATGCATTGCCACATAATAATTTTATTCTTAGATAAAAGTGACTAAATGACAAAAATTAATTTATTAATTTTTAATATTAAAATTTAATTCATTAGTGCCAATAATTGATAATGGTTGGATTAAATAACAAAAATTAATTTGAATTTTACCAAAAATAAGCTTTAATTTTTGTTTAAGAGTTATAAATAAAATGCAATAAAGGTTTTTAAATTGAAATAATAAAAAGTTAATTTTTTTTTATTTTATCTAAAATGCTTTTTTAATAAATGTTAATATGATTTAGGAAATATTTGTATTTCTGTGTTTCAATATAATATTTAACAATATTAAATTTATAAAAGTTATAATGGGAAATTTCATAATAGATCTAACATTGCAAAACAATTCAATATTTTATTTGGATTATAAATATTATTTAATATAATAATAATCAAATACGGAATAAAATTGAATATATTTAAAATATTATTAAATTTGCTATATATTGTCAAATAGTAATTTTATCCATAGAAAAAAGTCATTAAATAACAAAAATTTAATTATTAATTTTTAATATTAAAACCAAATTGATTAATGCATAAATTAATATTGGATCAAATAACAAAACATAATTTAAATTTTACAAGCAATAAATTTCAATTTTCGCTTCAGAGGTATAAATAAAATTCTATAATGGTAATTAAATTGAAATGATAAATTGTTAAATTTCTTTTTATCTTATTCTAAAATATTTTTTTTAATAAATGCAGATATGATTTAGAAGATATTTGTATTTCTGTGTATTTCAGTGTTATTTTTTTCATTCATTAAACATAATGATCAAGAATTTAAATATTTATTAATTAAAACATTATTAATCGAATTGAAAAATTGAATCAGATAATTATGATATGTATTTAAATAGAATTAATTAGCTGATGAAAATCCTTTTAGAGAAGAAATTTTTTTATAAAAATTATAATGGGAAATTTTCGTAAAAGTTTTAACAATGCGAAACTTTTCAATATTTTATTTTGATTATAAATACTACTGAATATAATAATAATTAAACATTAAAAGAGAACTAAATAATTAAACACTAATTGAGAAGCTATTAAAATTTAATGGCTGGGAATTAAACTTATATTTTAAACGTTACGTTGCTGAATACAGAACGGGAAAAATATGTTTCATCAGCGGAGCTTACCTCTTTTGGTTTAAATGACTTTCCCATTCAAATATGTGTTTACGTTTAGTATTAAATAAATTTCCCCTCTTAAATGTGGTTTAACTCTATAAATGTCAGGGGTAATGGATAGTTGTAAATTATATTTCATATTTGGAATAAATCCTTTTAAGTAAATAGAAATCACTCAGAGTCAATGATAAACAAAATCGATCTTCAATCAAATTTTATAATCTAAGTAATATAACATATTTTTTATATTTAACGTATATTTTATAATTTAAATGTATATAATTATCCATAATATCATTTTAGTATTGTTAATCTTTATTTTAG